GACCCGATTTACAAGTGGCGGCCCAATAATTTGCGTAGAAACGGAAACTGGGAAACGCGCAATGGCACTCGAGCATGCAATAACGAGAGCTCGAGTCTGTGTGTGTGTTTGTGCATACATGCAGCACTACACCGTTATTCGAATAACAAAATAAAAACTTGTGAATACTAATAGAACTTGCTGTTGGAATTCCCCCCAAAAATAATTTTAAAGAAACCGTTCCCTTTTCAGCATTTTTTTTTCGCACCGCAAACATTTAGTGAATCATTTCCCACCCTCCAAACCCTCCCCCTTTTCGCTTGTCCCCTGCCGCGCTGCGCCGCCCGCGAGGTGCGAGGTGTCGCCCATAGGTCCGGTGGTCGAATGAATGGTCGCGGGCGAGCGTGTTTTGGCACCCCTGGCGTGGCCGTGGTGGCGCGCCGGGCCCGCGGGCGGCGGTGGTGTGGCGCTATTCACTCCGCACGTGGACAACGCAAATCAGCCGCAATCATTATTATTGTTCTCCCCCCTAAATCTGGCCGGGACGGCGGCGCGGACGCGCGGCCGAAAATTAGCGCTGCGGCGGCAGCGGCGCACCGCGCGAGGTGATTTTCGGACGTGCGATTTATTTCCTGCCGTGTTCGCGTGTGTTGTTGGATAGCACACGCGGCTCGTGTGTGTGTGTGTGTGTGTGTGTGTGATAACACGGTTCGGTGACAGCTGCAGCCGACCGCCGCGCTGCTGGTGGTCATCAGCAATCGAATCGAGTCGCTGAAGGGTAATTATTTACTTTAAATCTCCCGCGCGCGCGGCTAAGATTTTTTTCTCACGCCCCGCCGGCTTTCGTTTGCTGTCGTCCTCCTGCATCCTGCTGTTGCTGCTGCTGTTGCTGCTCACACACATGCCAAACGGAGCCCTGCCCCATAAAGAGGCGCGACTTGTGAGCGCGCGCGGGCGCCAGCCTCCGGTGAGTGGGAGTGAGAGGGAGAGGGAGAGCGAGTAAGAGAGAGCGAGAGAGAGACAGACGGGAGGAAGCGGCCGTGTCGTCCGTCCGCGGCGGGGCACTAAATCGGCACGTGGCGCCTAATCGCTAATTAGGGGCGGCCGTGTCGCTGGAGGAGGAAGGGGGGGGGGAGGGGGAGCTGAACCCACCCGAAGGAGATTCCTGATGTTTCCAGGAGGAAGAGGAGGAAGCGCACACTAGGAGGCTGGCTGAGCCTCATCCTCCTGGAGCGTCCAAAGGAGACCACCCACGCTATTAGGTCGCCATTTTGCGTTTTTACGACACTTTATTTGCATGCGTGGTTGAGGCGTTTGAGGCATCTTTACGAATGTGGTGGAGGTGGCTGAGGGCTATGCTGGTTTGTCGATCGTCTCCTCGTCCCTCTGGCCTTGGCGCCTTGCGACTAGCGAGTACTACACCCGCCCGCACCGCCGTAGTCTATCCGCGAATCGACCACCAGTTGTCATGTTGTGGTGATTTTTTATTATCATCGAAAAGTCTAAATCTTAACCTAGACGTGTTCTGTTCTTCTAGAGATCGCATTGAAAGTACGTCCTTTTTTCTCAGATTCGTTCGTCTGATTAGGGAAGCTCGGCGCCTGCGAGACTCGGGGTGGGCCACGCCGCAGTACACGCATGCATTGCATGCAAGATGTTGCCTACCTATCAGGCGTTGTGAGAGCTGGTAGGCTCTTTACTTTGAAAATTTGTAACGGCGAATATTTTACTTTCTGGATTGTCCCTTAGAGGTCTACGGAAACTCTACCCCCTCCCTTAAAATTAACATAGATGTGTTGACTGCCAAACTGCTACGGCGCGACCCCTCAGCGGGGCTGCTTGCTTGTTTGGTGTTGTCCAATAATATCATGACATATTTTTTGTTTGACGTCTGTTTGGAGGCTGGCAGGACCGACCCCCCAGTGGGGATGGACCCTCCCCCACCCGTATAAATGGACTTGTCAAAACGTATGTCATTTTTTAATCGCTTCCGATTGTCCCCCGCCCGCGTGCTCCCCTCCCTTCAGCCACCCGCCCCGCGCCCATCGCGTCGCTTAGAAAGTTGTCAAACATACCAACGACGTGATGCGGTCCTGCTCTTTCTTCTCTCTCTTTTTTTTATTATCGTTTTAATCCGATCGTAAAATGAGCGGGTCGCGGGGGTGAAATGTATCGGCACACCCTTCCCGTCGGCCGCCGCCGCCACCTGTTGCGCCCAGGATGGTCGCGCCGCTGACGGATGCCGCCCGCTCGTTCCGTCTGTCTCATATCTGTCAACGGCC